ATAATACACTAATCATTATACATATACATGTATTCAATTATTATCGAAACTGCTTTTGAGATGTTTTCTTCCGGTTCATTTCTGGGAGACGTATACAAACGTAAGCGCCTGATTTTCTTTCTTTATTTTTTCTTCATTTATCAGGTTTTGGATATCATTTTACCGAACACGAACCCATCTATGGTTCGGGGGAAAACACAGAACGTTGGTAAACAAAAAATATTTATTATATGAACACGCTTGCTTACAATATATTTTATCACCCGACGAAGTGTTGCAGCGGTGCACGAAACGTCGTGAACTTTTAGATCCCTTGTTGACCATACATTGCGTAACAAAGGAATGTCACTAGCCATATTATATTCGATACTATATCCGCAATGAGTAATATATTTAGCAGAATAATATGTGTACGCACAATATATCAGAGGAATATTGAAAGTACATTCGAATCTGGTTCAATGATAGATTTGGTTTATTGTCTCAGAGCCAGAACTCTTTTAACTCTTTATTTGTTTAATTATTTATTTTTACATGGCTCATCGCATTGCATAGTATAACCAAAATGAACAAAAACAAACAATATCTTTCGTCTTACAAAGCAATAGCAATCATAATACATCTAAAAAAAATATTGCATGAAGAAACACACAGATGTGTTTCAATAAATATATATATAATATACACATGAATATGTCAAAGTTTGAGACGTTGTCACACATATTACAATTCAATTTGACATGTATTCTCTAAGTGATACAAACCAAACATAATCAATTTGCTAAATATACTTGCAATATAGTAAAACTATCTGTTACGCTCAACAGATATAAAACATTTAGAATTAATCTTTCACGGGAACGTGATGCCATCCAGATGCTATTTCATGAAATAAACAACACTTGCTTCATGATTGCAATATAAAGGAATATCCTTATCATAGTTGGCATCTTGAAAGTTTATTACATGATAAGAATTTTCTACGCAGTTGTACATGAAAATCCGCCGTTTTCTAGTGTGAGAGAGGGAACAATGTTCCCAAACGAGGTTTATTTACAAGTTGTATATAGCGGTCCCCTATCTAAGGAATGCAATAGTACGCCTATGAAAAGACTTCTCTTTTAAATTCACGTCGGTTCCTTTAACTGGAGCACCAAAATCACGCCCCCCGAAGTTCATAATCTGGGAATTGAAAATTCAAACTACTAAACTTTGCCAATCATATAAGTTTTTTAAAACCATTTTTACCTGATGAGTAAAAAATCATGCCCCTCTTTTATTTATTTATTCATACATGGTTCATTGCATTGCTTAGTATAATCAAGCTGAGCAATATCATTAGTCTTACACAGGCAATAACAATCATAATACATTTAATCAAATATTGAATGAAGAAAGACACAGAAGTGCTTCATTAAATATAAATAATATACACATGTATAGGCCTCAGGCTTGAGACGTTGTCACACATATTACCATTCAATTCGACAAGTATTCTTTAAGTGATACAAACCAAACATAATAATACTACTTGCAATAGCAAAACAGTCTAAATAATAATGTGTTATGCTTAACAGATATAAAACATTCAGAATTCATTTTTTTCACGGGAATTGCCTCATGATCTCATCCAGATGCCATTTTATAAAATATACAGCATTTGTTTCATGTTTGCAATATAAAGTCATATCCTTATCATATTTGGCATCTTGAAAGTCTATTACATGGTAAGATTTGTCAACTTAATTGTACATGAATATTTGCCGTATTCTAGTGTAAAAGAGGAAACAATGTTCCCAAACGAGGTTTATTAACAAGTTGTATATAGGGTCTCCTATATGATGGATGAATGGTAAGCTCATCAAAGGACTTCGCTTTTGAATTCATGTCGGCTCTTTAAACTGAAGAACTAAAAATCACTCTCCCTGTAGGACATGATCTAAGAATTTAAAATTCAAACGAATAGACTTTGCCTCAGATATCAGGTCTCTTACCATGTTTACCAAATATTTATACATGGTTCATCGCATTGCTTAATATATTAAGCAAGATGAACATACACAAACAGTATCATTAGTCCTACAAAGCAGTAACAATCATATTACATTTGAACACATATTGCATGGAGTGTTTCAATAAATATATATAATATACACATGTATATGCCTATGGTTTAATTGAGACCTTGTCACACTATGACCATTTAATTCGAAATGTATTCTTTAAGTGATATAAACCAAACATAATCAGTTTGCTAAATAATTGCAATATTAAAAACTGTCTGAATATTAATGTTACGCTCAACAGATATAAAACATTTAGAATTTATTTTCCATGGGCATTGCCTCGTGATGTCATCCAGATGCCATTTTATAAATATACAGCACGTGTTTCATGTTTGCGATATAAAGTCATATCTTTATCATATTTTGCATCTTGAAAGTTTATTACATGGTGAGATTTGTCTAGGCAATTGTACATGAATATTCGCCGTTTACTAGTGTAAGAGAGTGAAACATGTTCCTAAACGAGTTAATTTACAAGTTGTATGGGAGTCTCCAATCGGAGTACGATCATTGAATTCATGTCGGCCTTTTTAACTGAAGAACCAAATATCACTCTCCTCGTAGGACATGATCTGAGATTTGAAAAATTAAAACGACTAAACTTTGCCAAAGCTATCAGGTCGCTTTAATACCATGTTTACCCGATGAGTGAACAAATCTTGTTCCTCTTTTGGCTCCACTTCTAAAACTGCATGCACACAAACAAATATTTGGGTAATCTTACTCAAATAGGGAAATAAACTTTGATACTTAAGTGACACACTTATAAACTGAATGCATTAACTCATGAAATTGAGATTGATAACGCACAGGAATGAGTTTTGTTAATTTGACATTATAGTGACATGGCAAATGAGTATTTTTAATTAGTGAGTTATTTAATCCAATGTTGTGAGTAAATCGATCCATCTCAACTAGTGAGTAAATCTTCAATTACTCAGTCAGTCAGGTTATTAGGCTCATCACATGTGATTATTATGGCAAATGAGTAATCTAAATTAGTGAGTTAAACCAAATGTTGTGAGTAAATAGGTGCGCAGACATAGGGCTCCCCGTTATATACACACACACAAAAATGACACATCTGCGCATACATGTACAGGATGTTCTATGCGAGCTGGGGATCTTACGAAGTAGTTAAGATGAGAGAGAGAGCCCCGTATATCCTTGCTTATGGGCCTCGCGATTGCAGGACTTCGCCATGCACTCCATACACTTCGGTCGTGCACAAGAAGAGCTTCAAAATTTCAGGACTAGATCTAGATTCGATATCTAATCGGTAGCCTTAACTTGTTTTAGAAAAAGTCTGAATAAAATTCAAGGGATCCCCTTCATTAAAATTACTACTAACTGATTCAAAATTAAGAAAAATCAAATCTACTTACACTTATTCTGTGGCTCATCGGCCGCTAAAAACGTGACGATCGGGTACGTACGTACGATCACGCACGCGTACGAATATTCATCAGCGAAATATTTACACGCATGCAAAGAGTAAGATAGCTCCTAAGACGAGTACAGCTTTGAAGAGACTGAGGTTGTTGGTTTTTTACTCATCCAACGAATAAAGAGTATGTGACATATTAGGGAGCAAAAAGCCACTCTACACACTAAAGTTAGAGAATACTCATCCAATATTAACTTACATGTACTTTAATGAGTAAAAAGACTCATCGAGAAAATAATCGGGTCACATACTCGTTTTAAATATCATGTGTGTAAAATGTCACTAAGAGAAAGGTGGTGTATTCACCAAATATGTAAAATAATGCATTTATTAGATATATTCTCTCGACTGAATGAGTGTGCTACGATTTTTACTCACCATACCTACTTTCGTTTTTTGTGTGTGGGGTCTTTATTTTCTTTTCTTTTTAATGAAACGTACTTTAATTTCTCGCTTAACCTCAAGATTTAACAGGAAAGTTAAGTGAGCTTTCAAAATACCGCCCCTGGTAGATTTTTAAATTCTTAAAATTCTGCTTAAACCAAATATAAGAACACGTTAGGGATGCAGAATAAGTATTATACGAAACAAAGAATGTACAAATAAAACATATATATATATATATTCTTACATACATGGTTGCTTTAACACCTACAAGTTCGCGTTATGATATTTAGCCTCCATAGTTGTTAGGAAAAAAGTTGTTATATCCTAGGTTATAAGCTGCAGAGAATATTACACAGAATATCATGTATAAATTTAGTTTTAAACTAACATACATTCAGCAGAAGATGCAAGCATTTATAAATAATGAACGTATACACATGAAAGGGATTTAGATTGCATTAAGAACTTTATCAAACATCACGTGCGTTAAGGGGGGGACACTGAAAACCACACACCAAAAAATCAATAGTAGAGTATCCATCTGCATGTTGAAGTTGTCGTTAAATGCGGGTTGCTCATGGAAATAAAAACATAAATCTCTACAATTTATAGGCAAAGTACAATTTACACAAATAATTTAAGATCTGTCATCCCATTTCTACAACTGACCATTGGAAATATCTGCAAAACGAGGAATAGTCATATTTCGATGTTTAGTGAACGGTATTCATTGAGATATGTACATGTATATGGAACAATCACCCTGTATGAAGTGGCAAGTACGAAATTGCTTTCTAAAACAAACACCATCCTCCCTAAACCCCAAAAAATGAAAAGAAAAAGAACTATCAAATGTTAACAACATTGTGACGAACGATTATGGATAATAATGTGTTTCTGCAGCTGACAACTATCCATTTATTCTATAGTGTTAGACGGCATCTGTCTTATAACACAACAGGGTCACCAAGTAGAAGGTGTGTGACAGAGATGCAATATATTCATTTTCACACTGCCTCGGCCCCCTCCTTTCTCTCTCTATCTCTCTCTCACACACACACACACACACACGCGCGCGCTCTTACCCTCTCGTTCTGGTTTTACACCTCATCCACGTACATGTCTACAAGTCCCCCTGATTCTACCTTAACGAGGATTGCATTTAAATCCTTTCTAGTCCGAGTTGATGCAGCTTTCCAATTTTGAAGGAGGTGTATGTACTGCTCAGTTTTGTCTGTAAACTCCTTTCTGATACCTTCAGCTGTGCTGTAATCGATGCGAAGAGCAACATAGAGATGGCTCCACCGATCAGGTGGTAGAAGCTTTGCTAGGTTCAGGATATCCGCATCTGTCACTTTCTGTTCATCCGATGCACTGAAATTTAAGAATTAAAATTGTATTCGGCTTAGGCAAGAAGTCCCTGGTATTTTTTAATTTCCTGCCCCATATGAGAAATAAATATTAACTCTTCGAAATTGTACCATATAAAATTATTTCATAAATATATTAGAAAATGCACTTGCAAGAGAACGAGCAATGTATTTGGATAAGCGGGCTTTTAATAAACAATCAAGGCGCGGCACCAGCCAAAATTAGTGACAAATTGTTTGTCTAGGAATGATGTTCTAGATTTCAGACTTTCAGATACTAAAAAGAAAATTGATGACAATACCACTACTGGTACTACCTGTAGTACAACTTCTGCTACTACCAATACTTATAATATTACTACCACCAGTGACTACCACTCCTCACTTCTACCAAGATATTTTTCCGAACCGCCGTGTGCGCTGTTTATGTTTACCAGAACTCAGCCTGCTCTTTGAAATAATACAGTATAGATTGGCTACTAACCCTGATAGCGTTGACACCCCTGCTGATCCTGCATCCATGGTACAGGATGCTGCTCCTGCCGCTGTTGTCATGTCCACGTTTGTTGTTGCTGTTTTTTCATACCATTATTAAAAAAAACGAGAAGTGAGTTTGTGAATTAATAAAAAGCCTGGTCCATTCCGGCCAATGTCATGAAAACAGAGTGTACCCAGATTAAGGTTGGTCTTAGAGCATTTTTAGCATACAACTTAAACAAATAATATATATAATGGCTACTATTTAAGAGATGATATGGGGAAAGGGGGCTGGGGCTATAATTTGAGGTACTGCGCTCTTCCGAATGCCTGATCTACTGTATAAGTATGTGAATAACTATATCCTGTATAAACTGGCACTACGGTACTCCTTTAAAGAAAAACACATGTTAAGATTACTTCTATGCTTGTATAATGATATCAAATAGGAGAGTATTTACTGCAGTAGAAGTAGAAATGTGTCACATGACACATCCATCTTGAGCTTTAAATAAATATATCATTTTATGATTATGTTTGAAATACCCTGTACCCCATTGAAATTTACTTTTATATGCCTTATTCATCATATTCGGTATTCATTCATTTATCACGGGCTTTCCGCAAAGTTTAATGCGGAATTTTTCTCGTTATATGCTTATAAAAATTATTTATGCTAAACAAAAATGTTGGTAAATATTATGTTTTGGTTGTCATAATTTTGAACTTTTTTTGTATTGTTCTTGCTTTTTTTTCTTCATTATATGACACACACCAAAAAGTATGATTTATACATATCTATTATTCCTATATAGGACCCCATTGAAATAAGCTAATTAACAGCATTAAAAGCTTATCCTGTCGAAACATATATTTCCTTTCGTAACCATGTTGATCGTCAGCAGTTTCAAATTGAGGTGAAATGTACATCTAGTAGTTAAGAATTGCATGCATGTTATTACATATGGGTAGCTTATGAACCCTTTAATTTTGTTTTGAAATTTTTTAACAGGGATTGAAAGTTACTTCAAATGGAACACGTACTGTATTGACAATGTTAGTCGTAATTTTTCTCAGAAGTCAACAAAGTTCCACAAGACATTGTCTTAAAATCAAGGAAATAGAAGACTTTTAGGCTTTCAGATCAAAGTGTGCAGCTTGTGGTCCATAATTCATCATACATACCATCATATTTCAAGTCGAAACGAATCAGGGTAGGGTAAGAAGAAGACTTTCTTTGATCCAAGGTAAATTCGAGGAACCTTTGGCTTGCCTCCGACTCGAGTGGCTTCACTTCAAAGGAGAATTGTTTACTGTCAAAGAGGTACATATCCCTTTCACCTAGTATCTATTTTAAAAGAATTTAAAAGAAGAATGAATTCAAGTAAATTAAAGTTTATTTTCTCATTTAAAAACAACTTAAAAAGCATAACCTGAATTTGAAACATCACCACACGCTTTAAAAAAATATTATCATGCCAAAGTAAAAATGAATTGAAAGGAAAAAAGGCAAGAACGAGAGGGGGCAATGTGCGTAATTGCGTTCCAATGCATTTTCTTAGTTTTGTGAATTAAGTAGATGAAGGTAAAAAGTAACATACACTTTTATTCAACAATTTTGAAATCATAGATTATAACGTTTCACTCAATAATTCTTTTCGTTTCAAATGAATGAAAATAGTCGTAAGGGTTAGTAAATATTTTAAATAAATTTGACAAGAACGTTACAAAATATATGACAATTGAGTTCCGACCTAGCAAAACTGTGATTGGACTTTACTTACTCAATAATGCTATCAAAATTTCCTTTTTCTGAAACGTTCATATTCACTTAAAAGTCAAACCCATCCCCATCCCCATTTTGGTGGTAAATGAGAAAGGGTGTGCATAATATGCATGTGTCTTGTGTCTGCGTATGTAGTTGGCTTTTGTGCGTGTGCATGTATTAACGTGTGTATGTCTCACAGAGGGAGTAGCCCCCTTGACATAATTTTTAAATCCGGCATTGAAATGCCCTACGTTTGGCCACCCAGAATATGTTCTCCAAATTTCAAGGAAAAACAACATTGGAAAGGGAGCAAAAGAGTTCTGTAAAATGACAAAGCCAATACACGTCATGATTGGACGGAAACCCAGCGGAATTCGTATTGTGACCCTTCTTCAAATGCGATTTACCTAAAGTTTTCTGTGTGAACATATACCGTATTTGGTATCATTCGAAAAGGCATTCCAATTTGGTCATTTAGACACCATTTGTATGTGCGTTCAAAGTACTGCAAGCGTTAAACCGATTGTTTTATAATGCATAGTACATTCATTATATCTGGCTATGACTTCGCGATGGCGTCATCGATTTTCTTTTTTTGCCATAGCTTTGTGACGACGTCAAGTCAGCTGTCAAGTGTAATGAATACAAGTTTTATTGACGTCGGTGTAAGGATCGCAATTTTTGAAGTTAAAGTTTTTCTCGCAATTTTCTTGTACAAATTTGGAGGGCAATCTTCGTAAAGTCGGTCAGTGATAGGGTATACAACATTTTCATTGGCTTGAAAGGGCCTATCTTGAAGTATCTAAATCCGAAAAAGGGTACAGCTTTGGCCAGAAACGATGGAGTTAATGCCACAGAAAGAAAGCTTTGAAACACAAAACATACCTGTTTGTCAATGTTCTCCATATTTTCCTTTGAGCCATCGAACAACTCGATATTGATGTCACCAGACCTCCATTCTACGAACATTGGCTGGGGCGGATAGAGCTTCCTGTACTCCTTCATTTCTTCGTTTATTTTCTGTTGGAGCAAAACATAATGGATGGTAAAGAAGACAAACCCCCCCCCCTCTCAATGTCTTTCTTTTTATATAAATATATATATAAATATGTATATATAAAGAAAGAGAGAAATCTTTATATGAATAGCTACAAATATAGTTATAAACAAATATATATTTTTCTTTTTACAATTCTAGGATATTAATTACATATTAAAGTTACTATATATGTCCCATTAGCAGGCCCAAAAAATGAAAAGGTTAAATTCAACGGCATTTAAAAGATAATACTAATTTAGAACTTCCCTAAAAAAAAGGGGCTTGAAAATGTCTTTAAGTGGGAAAATAACGGCTATTAGTTGTCGAATCGACTTAAGAGCTATAGAGCCAGTAAGTAATAGTCTGATTTTCAGACCGTTGTACCGAATGGTCGTACGTTTTATGCTGCACAAAGATTCAATCAGTTTAATTTTGGCCTTTACAAGAAGTGGGTTATTGATGTAGACAAATGCTCATATACCCTTTACAGATCATTTTATGTATGTTAATATCAAAGAAGAAAAAGGCCAGTCAGTCACTCAATAGTGTCTGACAATGAAGTCTAGCAAGTAAACGGGTTTCCGTGCATAATTTGAATATTAGGACACTGCTAATGTTTGAATTCCACAGATATGACATACATGACAACTTCATAATTCCTGCAAAGTTCTACAGAATATGATGTTGGATGTAAAAGGGACATAGTATCTTTAAATTAAAAAAAGGCAAATGTGTCCCTATCCCCCCCCCCCCACACACAGCAACTAATTTGGACGTCATGAATCATAAAATAGCCAGAAATGTGTTAACGTTCTTTCCAGAGAACTTTAGGCGGAAATGATAACTTTTTTTCTCGTTCTCTAATTAATTTATCTTTTTGCCTATTTACAAAATTGTGAAGAATATCTGGCATCAAATGCGAAAATCTGGAGACTCTCTTTAATGGCATGTTGTTACATTTTCGACTCAATACCTTGAATATTTGCTCCGACACCCCCCCCCCCCCCTCCCACCCCCCATCTAAAATTATTTACAACGTCCTAACACCCTTATCTCTGTCTCACCTTATTAACATCCACGAGATCGTCATATATGCAAAGTAGCAGTAAGTGCGTCAACCCTTTCGTGACAGGTGGTCGTACATATGGCGTGCACCGGACCCTCTTTCCGATGAAGTACCGAGTGAAAACGGCCACAATCCACCAATCACTAAAATGATCTACGTAGAGATCCAAGTCCTTCGATCTGACGTCACAACGTGCCGGACAACCGTCCATGGATGCGGGAATTCTCACAAAAGTTGTTGAGTCTATATAGAAACGACATTCATAACATAAATATTCTGTCTACTATAAACTTGTACGTCATTTGATTTTTTTTGGACAAATGCTATATTATGTGTGAATCTACAGTGTATAACCATTATCTATATATATAATCCAACAAATTATTGAGAGACAGCAAATAGATATGTTGGCATCAACTGGTCCATTAATAAGTTATCACTAACTTTACTGAATTAAATAAAAATCAAATAAGAAAGGAAACTGAAAGTGACACGTATTTTTTCCTATTTTGAAATGTAACAATAATTTTATTTATATTCCGTGTTATATTTCTATGTCTAAAATGCATTTGAGCTGCTGTAAATTTGATATGAACTTGCTCCTGCGACTATTGCTCCGCTTCAATCTCCTCCAATATACACCAATCCTTAACTTTAACCATGGAATTAACACAACACCTAACCCTATACCATATCCCCAACCCTAGACCCAATCTGGAACTCAATTGCTACCCTAACCAAATGCCTATAACTGTGAAGAAATAAAGCTCGGAAACATTTATTGTTGTCGCAGGAGCTTTTGTCCGGTCCCTTTGGTAATTGCCCCACCTTTGTTGCGGGTGTAGAAGACGATCTCTGCACGTCTTGGATTGGTGAAATGTGCATTATGATCCAATGTGACCTTAAAAGTTTCGCTGAGCTTGGCTCCAGAAGTCGTAAATCTGACGCCGCATGATATTACTACTTCATTATCTTGAAGGGTAAGTTCTTGAGGACTGTCTGTCAAAAGATCCCACTGGATTTTCTTGCCAACTAAAAAACAAAAATTGGTAGGATGTACAAAGTTTGTTAATTTTCTCAAGTGTAAAATATTATATAATGTACTTGACTAGCATGATTTCAAAAGTTATACGATGATCACCATCATTTAATGATTCAATTCAATAAGGGTTTATTCAACATGACGTTCTTGCAGCCGAAGCTGAATTGCATGGTTATTTACAAGGTAAATCACATCATGATGGTTAAAATGCAGCATTATACATGTAAACATCAAATAAATGACAATATAAAAGGATAAATATACTAGATACATTCATACGCAAAATATATAGGCAGTATCATTAAACAAAACAAATATACAACATGCACGAAGCTTACTTTTGTAATACTAATCATTTAAGATGCGAACAAAATAGGGAATAGAGCTATTCTAAAATCGTTTGGTTTAAAAATAAATTGAGAATATTTGTGTTCATTTCGTAAATCAAAATTAACAATTCTTTGACTTGGTAGCCATAAAGAACAAAATCCACTTAATGGCAAAATCAAAACAAAGTTTATTCCTACGTTCTTCCAACGTTAATAAATCGCACAATAATTGTAGAGCATGATTATATGTTTCATAATTAAGTCCAAAAATAATTCTACATGCCCGTTTTTATATTCGTTCAATATTATCTGTTTGTTTACGCATTAGATTGGAATGAAAAAGTGGTGCACAATACTCTAATATTGGTCTTATGTATCCAGTATAAACAATAACGAGAACACTAATGGGTAAATTCCGTTTTAAGGTACGTAACATATATAACTTTCTATTGCACTTCTTTAACATTTCCTTTACTTGAGTATCCCATTTTAAATCACATTGTATATAAACTCCGAGAACATTTAAAATACGACTTTTATACGTGATACTTGTTGGCAGCATTCTAAAAAATCTACTATTAACGAAATGACACATGGTCGAACTTCCAATTTAACAAGTTTACAAATACAAATATTATGATCAATCCCGTCAAACACTTTTTAAAAATCGGTTAAAACTATGGTTGATTTTTTTTAAATCTGCATTTTGTATAAATTATGTAACTTTCCAATAAAATAATGGCAATTTAAAAGGTCGCGACGATTTCCTTACTGGTTTTTTTCAATCACATCTGACATCACCAATATTTTCCCACAACCACTTAGTAATGACAGTTTCAGCTATTTAGCAAAGTATCATCACCATCATCATCAACAACATTATCACCAAAATCATCACCATCATCAATCATTGCCACCATCATTATTATCATCATCTTCACCACCATCACACCACCATCACCAACACCGTCAACATCATCACCACTACCACCACCATTCCTCTGTCACACTGGCAGACCTTTCTAAAGACCGGGTGTAATGTCATCGTTAGTTTGGTTTGTCGTCGGTCTGGTGTCGGTCTCCTTGGTGTGACTGACGTATCAGCATCACTGTCATTATAATCATCATCGTCACCATAATCCTACTCATTACTTCATCTTCATCCTCAGACCGAAGACAACCATATGCGCACACCTAAACAAATGATTGTGCGGTGAGTGCATAAGTGCGCCACAATCATTAAACAATATTGTATCATGAGTTAACATTGTCATTCATATCACTAATGTATCATACTAAACGGTTTCACTGTGTACATTATTGTTACCAATGTTATGTATCTGTTCGTCGTGGTATTTGTATTTGAAATACAAATTTTGGTAGTAATGAAGGAATAATAATAATATAATTATGGACCTGGCAAAACAAACTGTTTGACCTCAAAGCGGCTGTTGAAGGTTTGCAAAATACTTGTATACAGGTCACCTAATGTTTCGAGTTATTCTTCCGCTTAGCTCTCTTTCCGATTCCTTCGTCTCCAGGGCTCAATTAAGTATTCAGTAACTTTCTTGACGGCGAAATCGTGTATTAGCTTAATTAGGTAGAGGCGCAGAATGTTTTCTGCTGATGTCTCAGTTAAGGTCAGGTGACAAATCAAGTCAACAACATTTTGTCTGTTTGTCCTCTTTTCATATTCATCTTCCACCAAATTTTAAAAGCGATCATACTCTCACCATATAACAATGCATGTTTACGATACAGTGCCATGTGTACGTTCTTGTGAGTTCTCTATCAAAAACTATTTAATTGAATGACAACGCATATCATATTGGAATAGGCCGACAATCAATTTACCTCCACTGGCCAAATTGCCTTGGTTCTTGGAGGACTTGTCATCTAGAAGAGGTTGGTTAGTGGTTGCTGTAGGCTCCTGTGTCATGGTCTGTCCTCCTGAGGGCCCTTGCTCATGCGCTGCTTCGAGGAAATCTAGTCCTGCTTTTTGGAAATGAGAAAAGGTAATATTTAGGACTCGAGATATTTGACACAAACCACACAATAAAGAAAACCCCATATCATTTACAAGACATATATTTTGTTTAAAAAATCTTGATCAACATAATCACTGCTGACTACACAGATCTATATCAAAATAAAGATTCCTAATTTGGAGGTGAATATACCTATGTGTTCTTGCGTAAAAATATTCACCTGCCTCAGATGCATAAAACGTATCTCACCTAAGGCGTAGTCTATTGGCTCTACACTGTCTGTTCCATCACTTTGCGCCTCTTCCGGAAGATTGTCATAATCGTTCTTCTCGGCCTCCGCAGTTCCTCTGTTGAAAAAACAAACAACAAACAAATAAAATAAAAAAATTAAACAGTTTAACCACTACGTTATTATAAAAGCCTTATAAATTGGTAAATTTTTCGTTACTTAAGAATGAAAAGTGGACTGGTTAAATTAGGACATTTGTTGAATACTTTTAGATGTAAACTTTATTATGTCATATTCTCATGAAACATACATCGGGGCAAATCAATTTTTTACACAATGATGACAAAACTAATTTAGTTATCATCTGTACATTGAACTACGTTGAAGTTCATGTACATTGTACCTATTAACGTTTAGTGAATTATCTTTCATTTAGAGGACACCCAATCTGTCATATCGGAGAAATTTAAACGTTAGCAGTGTCCCAGTATTCAAATCATGCAAGGAAACCCGTTTACTTTCTAGACTTCACTGTCAGACACTATTGAGTTATCGTTCAACATTAGTTATACACGACGGCCATTTTTTAAATAAATTTATTTAAATCCAAGGTTGTCCAAGAAGAACTAGTGAGGTGCTCTGGACATGTTGATACCCAACACCCTTTATAATATTTCATGTCTAAAAAAAAACCTGCTTTGCCGCCTGTGCACTGATGCTCATATCCGCCCACAATGCTGAGCAAACTGTAATGACTTTCGTATGGGTGGGATTCATATCAACAACCCAATAATCGAGAGATAACAACTTGAACCACTAAACCACAACACCTTCTAAATGAAAGCCTTCGAATTTTCCTTGTCATAGCAGTCGGAAGCAAAAATGAAAATTAAAGATAATTATCCCTATCTATAATTAGCAGGAGAGTATAGTGAGCTACATCACAAATTTAAGAAATGTATGAATTCAATAGCGAGTAGTAGTACACTGTAAATATCAAATCCATTCAAACAGTTTTCATTTTTTTCAAATTGCCTGTTGGCGATCTTGACTGGAATATGGGTTTTCCCGCCGTATTTCAATTTTGTTTGCGCCAATGGACAGCCACATTTTGGACATTCAATGTAGAACATAATGTGCAGCCTTCTCTATTTCTTTTCAAATATGGCGCTCATTTTTCGTCTATGTACGTATTGCTTTTTATCTTCTTTTCCTACAGGATCTATTCTTTCATTGCATTCACTTTTATTTTCTTGTGCAAAAGTTTGCAAAGAATTTCAAATACATGTTTAAAGACATAACTTGACTACCTTTTAAAATTGATGAAATGTATTGCACAAGTGTCAAAATCGCATGCCCATTCACTATAACGAGAATGATGAATGTCTGCTGCATACGGACAGGCACGAAATCGGATGCTCTTTTCGTGTGTTTCGAAATTGAAATCTCATCATACACTTCAAAATGAAATGACCCATGACCCTAAAATTAAACCAGAATTTAAAATATCACTTTGGGAATTATGATCAAAGCCAACATTCAATTTCGCACAATACTGAGTTAACTGAATGTTAATTTGCATGCTGATTTTACGAAGGTGAGCGGGAAGAGAAATGCCGCTGTAATACAAGCATCAGCACATGACATTAGATTGCGAGATAGACTCATGAACACTTAAACTTACTGATCTGATTCCTCAGCTAAAGCTTGAAATGTGCCAGCAGTTTTCGTATTCAAGAGAGCAATGCCCTTTCCACTATCTGAAGATTAATGAAATGTTATTAAGGCAGTATTGACATGGGGTACTGACAGATTATAATTAATGTGAATGATCCCATTATTAATACCGACATCAATTTATATCCTCATCAAATAAGAAGCCAATACAATACATGTACCAATGAATGAAATATTGAATGATACCCCCAACCCACACGCACCGCACAGTATTTCACATTCAAAAATGCAATTTTTAAATTATTTTAATGGTGTTAGATCCTTTACAATTTAGTATACATGGAGGAAAGTGATCGATCTAACACCCCGAACATCCAGATGCTTGACATCATTCTAACGTAAAAGCAAACATTATGATGTCAAGCAAATTTAAAACATAACCTAAAACAAAATACAAGAGTTAAAAAGAAATAAAAAATAATTACAACAATTAAATCTATCAAATTATTGTAGACGATGGATGCGAGGTGTACGAGGAATTTACAGTGGTCATGGTTTAAATACATGTTAAAGGTGAAATTCAAAGAAGATCACAAATATGTCAACTAATGTATCACTAGAAACTGGTAAGCTAACAGATGGCCATCGGACAAGTTTTAGGTCACCTACATATCGGGTGATTTATAAAAAATAAAAATACAACCACCTCCATAGCAGCTGGGATATACGAGAGATTCGCCGGAAAAATAACGATGTTTTAATGACGTCACTATATGGACCAACACTGCCCAAGCAGACGACATCCCATAGAGAATGAACATAATTGCAGAGTTATAATTTCTCAAATTATAATGAGTTTAGTGTATATAAATGTAATGGCATGTCAAACCATTCAAAAGGGGATATGACCCGATTCTGGGAACTAAAATCTTTTGCCTGTATATAAACAGGATAGGTGTTAATTAACAATCAAAGAAATCAGACTTTCAAATTGAAAAACCCCCGGAATGATATTAAGGACGACATTTGTTCCCTCTCGAAACGCCGAACATACCCCGGTGTGTGCAGCTGAATATACAATGGCGTCTTATTTTGTTTACAAGCGACAGATTCCTTTATTTTTGTATTGCTGCATTTGTCATCAAAATAAAACCATGCACGGGGTTTAGGGTGAGACAATAGATTATACATTTAGCCCGACGGTAGTGAAGTAAGAGAAAGAACTCAAGAGAAGATGAAAACACAGGCACTGAAAATGTGTGAGATGTCATGGGACATCGTCTGCTTGTGCAAGTCATGTCCATACTGTGATCTAACACATCTCAGCAGCGTTCGGAGAGCTCTTCAGGTGCTATGCCGGGGCTGTGTTTAAGCGTTTTGTAATTTATAATAATCATTACTTCGAAAGTTTCCAAGCATTGACTTTTGATAACCTTGTCAAATCAAAGTTTCAGCTTTGCAATAATGAAAATAAAGTTAGTTTTTAAAATCAATGAATATCTACTTTAATGTTTATTTCACGTAAAAGCTACTTTATACTCATTGAAGCTGCCCATCGCAATTTTAAACATATATATATATATATGAATATAGGAAGAAAGTATTATATTTTGGATATATAATAAGCTAAAGGGGAATACTCTCAATATATAACTGTGGAATACAAGAGTGTGATTTGACTAAATATTGTCGTATACACTCACTAGGCCAATCAATTATTCCAAAACTATTCCAAAATGATAAAATTGAATGATTCCTTCTTATGTTGTACTTGAGATAAGTAGAAGACTGTAATTGCATGATTTATGATACCCTTGGTTTTCTCTGCTTTCGAAACGTCCTGCACAGACTCCCAAACCAGCTTCAGTGTCTGCTTTGCTTCGGGCCCTGAAGTCTGAGATGCTTTCCAACTTGAGAGCATTTGGATGTTAGCATTTTTCCTGTTGTATAGTATCCGATGTTCAATGTGTTGTAACTCTGACGTGTTGAATCCCAGCTTCTCGCCAATCTCAAAGAACTTTTCCGGTCTGATCTGACGGGCGAACGCGAGCAGTGTCCTGTCAGGAATTTCTCTGTATCATTGGATAAAGTCATAAGTCAAGAAACCCTCACGTATAGTTTCATCGCTTCTTCAAAGTAATGCATCAACTCACCGAGATATTATATTGAGAGTTTCAAGGTACTGGTATGTGGGCGTGCGCGTGTGTAAATCTTGTTCTCTTTTGTTAATTTCCATTTCAATGTTGACCATATTTCATTCATACATTGTCATTTCTGAATGATATGTGATATGCATAAACTTGATTTCATGCGTACACTTTTGGTCACAACCATGTACGTTCAAGCGTCACGGCGAATGCGTACGCGTGCTTCAAAATCAAAAATTGGTCAAGATGCTTATTGGACTAATTTACTGCAAGTTCAGACGCTCTTGTGCGTGCCGTCCGTACTGATGGTATTAATTCAAGTTTTTCACTTGTTTTGTGTTGCTGATACTATTCTTAGCAATGTTTAAGTCACGTTTTGCTTTTATTGAACTAAATTTAGCTCATAAACATTAATTTAACCTCAAAATTGACGCATGCACGCTTTTGCAGAAATTTCCAAAAGTGGTTAAAAAAGTACCTATTTTTAATTTCTATAACTCTTCAGAATGGCTGGTTACCCCCCCCCCCCCCCCCCTTTTTTTTTATTTTTTTATGTTCTGATAGGGTATGAATTGTAGATGCGATTTCATGTATCACGTTTGCTGTTAGAATGCTTTGATGTTAACATAGTGCCAATTAAAAAAAAACGATTGAATATGATTTGATTAGGTAATATTTGCCGTTGTTGTTTTGAATATATCCCGTCTATCCCTTCTCTAATGTTTCCCATATTTTACTATGTTGTAGCTTAGAATTTACTCTACAAATTTTCTGTGATTATTTATTTTTTTAAGAAGACGGGAGCGTAGTAAAAATTCTGATTTAAGATGAAGACTGCAAAATCTGCCATTATGGTTTCTACTTGTACGTGCTATCTCCTATTGAGTTTGTGTCATGTTTTCGATCCAACATATATGTATAATAAATAATCAGAAATTTAACTTCATGAACGACATGTTTTTTGGCTGCTTGTTCGCCTACTCCTGTCATTAATTTAATGGTAACAGTTTATACTAAACAATAGTCATGGCAATCATTTCTAATGTTTCTACATCCTTGATTACTAATTGAGCTTGTACATAGGCATACTATATGAGTGGAGGGTGTAATTTTGTTAAAGACCAAATCTTCCTTTGGGTTTCTACATGTGTTATGTCTCCATCAAAGCAGCAGATCACCTAATTCGTCTCTGTGACGAATTCCATGTCTAGTTTCCCAATTGTAATCATCAGGCGTTTGTGTAAAAAATTGTATTGATAACACTGCCGCCAGTTTATTTTCATTGGCGGTAATAAATACAACCCACGTACAATATCGATTCTATAAACACCTTAGTTGCCATAAATTAGAATCTTACCCAGTGAGTCCAATGTCTGGTGCACGTAGGTGAGGCAAAAGTAGAACATAAAGATATAAACATAAAAACAAATAAAGAATAAGATTGTAAGAATAAACAATTTATTTTTAAAAAATGAAATAAAACTAGATGTTAGCCTCGTTTAAATACGCCAAGCCAATTAAAGTCATGTATTTTCTCTCACACTCCCTTCTACGTGTATGATGTGCGAATTCTAGAAAAGTAGTTTTTTTGATATCCCACCCACTATTTTTTCTATGTTTTCTCTGTTGTAGAATAAAATGACATGTACCGGTATTGTGTATTGCAGTCAAACCTGTCTACAGCGACCGCCCAAGGGAAACACAAAAAGTGGGATTTTTAGACGGGTGGTCACTAAAGCAGGTTTGACTGTATATAATATCTCGAAATAACTCAAATACTTAATTTTCACTACATTTCAGCCCTTGGTCCAATGCACTATTAACAGTTATCTACAGCTCTAACATATTTATTGACTGTTATGCTTCATAAGCGTCTCGGAATAGATTCACTGAAACCTATTCTTAATTCTATCCTCAACCCTAACTTCTATCAGCACACAACACTGAAATACAATTTGAAATGGGTGTCAATTTGCCATGTAACCATATTTATGATCCAAAGTTATCCTGATTCTAATTATTTTTTTCTAGTGTATTATAGGGGAGTAATTTTTTTCATTTTAAATTGACATCAACTAGAAATACAAACCGATACTTTGTTCAAAAGTCAGACCTGTTATGGCGATTCCTTCTGCTGGTGGATCTAAAGATTCCATGAGTGAGAGGAAGGTTTCCTTTGCTGCTTGGCCGGACGGTTGTCTCTCTCTCCATGTCACCAACATGTCATAGATGGCCTGCTCTCTGTCACGGAACCTCCTGTATTCTATGACATCCAGTTGTTGTATGGTGAAACCAAGAGCTACTCCCAAATCATAGAACTGGTCTACTGTCATTGTTTGGGCTATTGTAAGGACATCAATGTCCGACAGGTCACTTTTCAAGACTTCTTCCACAGCACTGCAAGACAAAGTGAAGGTTTTCTGATAAATTTGCTTCGTTGAAACTACTTTAAAACGATGGTTGTAAATGTATGAACAACAACCTGGCGCTAATGAATTATGGCAGGACATTTCTTTATATTTGTCCATATACATTATAGACCCAATAATGACTACACGACAAATGTTCCGAAGGCAATGGCTTCATAGTGTATATGTACCGGTATAGCATCAAACAATTTGATACAGGAACTTCTTCTCAAGACCAAATGTTACATCCATTCTGATTTATAAAATTAACCAAAAGTTCGATTGCTTCATTGGCCCTATGAATATCTTTGACGGAATCGAAACGGAGACTACCGAATCAATTTCTGATCGCCTTTGCAAAGTTTAAAAATAATGAGGTGGGGAAACAAAATTGGTCGTCTTTCACGTGATCTATTCTAATTCATAATTATTTTGGTCAAGTCTTGAAGTGAAGAAAGAAAACAGAGGTATTGGTTTAATGTATTCAAAATTCTTAAAAAGGATAAAGTTTCATTCCTACATGTAGCTTTGTTCAAATAAAACAGCTTTATTATCTATTTACTAGACAAATGCCTAAATTCAACTCAGGACCAAATGTTACATTCATTTCAATCTATAAAGGCAACTTAAATTCTTATTGCCTCATCGGCTCTTTCAGAGCGTTGAAACGGAGAAATGTCATCGAATACGTTTCTTTTCACCTTCTGCAACGTAGACATAATGAGATACGAAAAGTACTTGAATTTATAATTATTTTCTTCAGGTCCTAAAAATGAAAAACAGAAGTATTGTTTGGATTTATTCCACAACGATTATTCTTAAAGATTATAAAATTCCATTCCGATAAAGCTGATGTACATGTAGTTTTGTCCAAACGAAACAGCATTATCATCTATGATGTATGATTTTAAGCTTACCCAACAAATGAAAGGGGCTCAGAAGGAGAAAGGTATTCCTGTCCATCTAAAAAAAAAATGAAGAAAGGGCAAATTAAAGAGAAAATACAAGAATGACTTGAGCTTTTTTTATAATTATTATCATTACTAATATTATACAACTTCCTCTGCTTATGGTCTCTAGTTTTCGAACAGTTTGCTGAACCCTGTGTCTAATGATTAAACTAATAGAAGTAGAAGTATATGTATAATGAGTCATGTGAAATTGAACATATACAAAAAAGAGAATGAACATATGCCCGCATTTCGTATTTCATGACCGTAAATGCCAATTGAAAAATGAAAAAACCCATTCCGAGCTGTATTTTGGCTAAATTTTTCGGATAATCTTAGGCATTCATTGCTTATTGAAAAACATTGCATTCGGATGCAATTATCTCTAAGCGCCAGAATCTTTTCTTGTGAGATTTATCCAAATATTTCACGTTCTTTCTTTGATCATACTCTTGAGTTTAATACTAACCACGAACTAACTGATAATTTGATAAATATAGATTAACTATACCCGTTTGTCTGATGATAAAATCAAGTGATTGAGACACCTCTTGTCTTCCAGCTTGTGTAATTGTAATGGTTATCACTGTGAATTTGACATCATCATCAGTAGGAGTCACGGACAACAATATGTTGTGTCTCATCTTGCCACAAACATCCCTCAAAGAGAGAACCTGTGATATTGAATTAAAGAAAAAATAACAATACTAAATTTAAAACAATGTCATTACAAGTATTAAAAAAAATATAACGAAGTCGAGTTGTGTAAATTTCCTGTTACCAACACTAATCACGACTTTTTTGCGATAAATCAGCTCAAGGGCGATTTCAATACCTTATTGTATTCCCCCTACAAATAATGTTCAACTACGTCATTGTCATAATTTTACATTTCACATAATTCAATAAGTGTTAGGCGAGGGTAATATAATATAGTTTTTGTTTGTTTAAGAAGATGCGATTGCGTTTACCATGGATATATTCCCCAAGAGTACCAAACGTACCAATTAGAGGAGTGCGTACGGTAAGCACTTAATTCATATGATAGATGGTAAACGCCCCTCTCTTCATCATTGGTGTAAAACTGCATCTCCATCAAACCTTAGGCATCAATAGGATGATGTTCGTGTCGGATAACTTTATCAAACTTTTAAAAAAAAGTTTAAGTACCAGAAAATGATAGAGGTAAGAATGTCAGAGGTAAACATTTCCGTGGTAAGAATGCCAAAGGTAAAAATAGAGGGTAAAAGGAGAGACAGACCCCTTTTGTTTACCTCTGACATGTTTACCTCCAACATTTTTATCTCTGACATTTTTAATTAAACCTGGGTAAATTTTAAGAAGAAAAAATAGCTTGATCATCAAATATAACCTTTGCTATGAAAACACAAACGTTATATATTTGCTACAGATTATTATAGAAAACATTGACACGTCATAAACATTCTTTTGAGTTTTGATTACCTTGCTATCAACTTGGTCGCCCTCACGATGACACGTCACTGTAACGTCACCAGACTTAGACTCAACACTGAAGGGAATGGAGCGATGGCTCTTGTGGTACGACTGCTGCTGCTTCTCCTTTCGTATGTCCTATTTCATAGGTAAAGACTAGGTATCGTCAATACACATTAATGAGAAAACGGTGGAGAAAATGTTTTGAACCTCAACAGAAAACTATTAACTAGTTTATCACTTTTAGAATGAAGTGGTTCTAAATATGTATGGGCAGTGAGAAATCGCAGTTCGTTAACATCCATACTGACTCCTAGAAACATTTGAAGGTTTAATATTTTTTTATTTTTAACAATCCCAGCGTTTGGGGAATTTTTTTTTTAGATCTATGGACCATTTTCGTAATGTAATCAAATTTAATGCACACATCTTTGTGAAGTGTTTTGCTACAAAGTATTCCATTCACCAATTATGAATAATTGTATTTCAATAGTCAGAACGCAAATTGCATACATTACGTGTTGTTAGGTAGGACAAGCCATGTGTTTATCCAACATAGCAACAATTAATGTATGCAATCCGCATTTTTACTAGTTCAATACAGTTATTCGTATAATAATTAGTAACAAGGCACTTGACAAAGATGTGTATCTAGCAATAATTAATCAAATCGATCTGCATTCTGACAATTGAAATACAGTTATTCGTAAAATGATTTGCAACGAGGCACTTAACAGATATTTGTGTTTTAAATTTGATTACACTACGGAAATGATCATTTGCGTGAACACAAAAGTGGTTGATATCACTTGTGGAAATAAATGCGGGCTGAATACGTCTGATAGCTTTGCAGTTTTTAATTATATCATTTAAAACGAGTAAACATTGCCTATAATTCCTTTACAGTTTCATGAAGACTTTGATTCAACGCGTAGGAATAAGAGGGGCTTCCCCTAAAACAGAAATCAGACTGCCTGAAGAAACCAGTAGGAACTGGTGAAACGTCGCGGAGTAGTTGTAAGTAAGAAATTGTAAGTAATAAATTGCTGCAATTGATGCCAATACCCAGGTGCTTTTTACTGACCGTTTCCATCCCAGGAAGATCCGCATGCATCTGCAGGTGAACTTCAAACTCTTGTCCTCGCTCTATGTTGTCTGGGATGTATGGAGTGCATATAAGTTGGTGTTGGATCACCTGTTGTTCGAGAGGAATAAGAACCCACCACTCAGCACATTTTCCAATGTACAGCTCAAGATGTCTCTTGTACACTTTGCAGTATGGTGGTTCGTGTGGTGAGCTGGATGATCTTTTTCTTGATGTTATTGTTACATCTGGTGTCAGTGAATAACAAAAAAAATGCACTTTTTTTGTTGAGAACGTCATGGGGCTGATTTGTCCTTTGAACAGTGAAATCTAAGATTTACATGTACTACTAGCGAAGAGGTAAAATAATACATTATAGTTTTTAAGATGATGATGGCTTATGCTATGGCGCCGGTTTCCGCCTCAGATGGGTGCTCATGGCGCTTGCTCAACAATGCTAAACATGGATCTCAGTGCATCAATTTGCATTTATCCCAGCAATAAATATAGGTAATTTTCTTAATCTAATTCTAATCTAATAGACTTACCCATGCCTGGATACAATACACGGGAAACGATGTTTGGTTTCACTTGATCAGGGTTCATGACCAAGGCATAGTGTGGTATCTTGATCTTAACAGGTTGATGGAAGATCATGTTTGGAGGATCACATCTGATCCCGTAGCAGGCCACTGATTCATCATCTTTGATGTCAACACTAGGAGTGTCTTGTAAGAGGGTTAAAGTGATCTTGCATGGGTCACTCTGATGAACAGCCCCAGGAGGAATAAACATTGATACGCCATGGTCTTCTAGTTCAATTTCCTGACTGGTATTCCTTACGACTTCAACGGAGACGATGGCAGGTGTCGATGGTTCAGCTGTCATTTATTTTAAACAAAGGAAAATGACACAATAATAAGAACAGATATAATCGACAAAGTAACTGTAAATTCAGATCGGGATAGTCATTGGAATGATATACCAATATATAAATATAGTTCTCATCTCATTTCTGTTCTCAAAAAGGATTCACTCTATTACAACTGACAAGTTGAGTTAATTACCCAAACACTGACGTTCCCTCCTGGTTTGTAATAGTTGAATTACGGTATATGGTAAATCTATAATTTATTATCGGTATTGCATCTTTATTATATCCATTTGTTTATTTATATATGCTTTTTTAAATTTGGGGCTCATCCAACGTTCATGGCTCGTATTTGGAATGCCGTTTTTTAGGGAGTACCCGAGTGAAATTTGTGTGTGCGATTAAGTAAATGGCCCAGACAATGAATTATCAAATTCTCTCTTCTTTGGAATGGAAAAAAAAATGATCATCGCTAGACTTTAATATGTGACGTTCTGGATAAGAGAAAAGTTGTTTGTGTTTGAAGGACGTTCTTACCTCGGTAAGACTGGATCTCCTCCAAAGAAGGTAATCTGAAATTATTCAGTGCAAATGTAATAAAGTGGATATAAGTTATTTATATACAATTTGTGCTGTGAACAGATGTATTTGTTTCAACGTATGAAAAATTACTTAAATGGTATCGACATGAATCGAACAACTGTTTATTGTCAGACACTTATCGATAATCGAGGCCCATTATTTAAAGAAAGATACTCTTATCTTAGGATAATCTAGAAAAAGAAAAAAATACACATTTTTTTACCTGGCTATGCGTACAATTCTCACAAAATCAATACATTAAAAAGAAACGAATTCAGTTTGGTTTACAAAAAATATATTTAAAAGTATCACCTCGACAAAATCATCTGCTTGACCACTTCGTCTTTGGCATAGTGGATTGGTAAGTTGCCTTTCTTGTCCCTCACATCTAACTTGGCTCCATTCTCCAGGAGATAAAACACCAAGGCCTTCTCAGGAGATAGTTCGCCATTGTAATACTCATCAGAGATCTGGAACATTACACAAATATATACTTTTGTATTAGAACAGTATCGTCCATCAATTCGCAGTAGTGGAAATCCCTATTTACGTTGTAAACTTCCCCCACACGCACGAACACGCGCCCAGACACCAACACACATATTTTCTTGTGTCAATCACAGGTATCATATTGTAACGTGCGACCCCCCCCCCCCCCCCTTAAAGTAGTTTGCTGCCACCACAATAATTTTATAGAGTTATTGAGCTCTGGACCGAAGTCAATTATGCTTCGGTAACAATAAAACAAATTATCCCTCCGCCTCAACTTATTTTAAAGAGCCGAAGATTATCCAATCAGAAGAGCCGTAATGTTCATAACGCCGAACTCCACTGTCAGGCCTTGTCATTGGTAGATTCTCGCGCCAGCTGTGCTAATCTCTCTCAGGCCGCCAGAACCAAGATCGTGAAATGAAGCTCCTGAATTCTGAAGGAAATTTGCTGTCTCTCCAGGGTTTAATATTATCATCTAATAATCAAATGACCCGGACTCTCATACAGGAAATAATGGTGAGTTTTCCCCACTGAGTGATTTGCTACATTTCATTTCTAACTCAGATTTTTGTCCAACCTTGTCTCTGACAAAACAAATCATGCGGCACGTCTCATTCACCTACACGAATACGTACGTTCGCTCAGTGTCTGTGTTTGTTCAACATGCGTACAATCAGCTACAACACGTAGCACCACAATCACTCATCGGATCAATCGATCATCCCAAACACGGCTCCAACAATCAATTATTCTAACTCTCAAACTTAATCCTTTCTCACTGGGTCTCACTAGGTAGACGTAGTAATCGAGCTTAATGGCGAGTTCCGTTTTCTTGAAATATACAAGATTGGCCTTCTCATCTAAGTTAATTAGCTTCAACTTCTAATTATCTAAACTAAGACTTCTAATCTTAAACTGTAATTCTAACTTAAGTCTTGACTAAACTAATTTGCATCAACATCAATCAATCAATCTTCATTGAACAATCAATCGCTAAACACTAATCATTCAATTCTTTCTCACAGGTGTGCATTGTATACGTTATAAAATTATTCTACGAATTGAAGTAAGTTCAATGAACTTTAATAACACTAACTCCAAATATTTACAGGTTCAAGATGCATAACAATTCCAACTTGTTGCAAATACTGGTACCATAAATTTCAACTCCATCAATTCATTGAGTATAAGTGAGCATGGCAATTTATATACAAATGTTAGTCTAATTTAGCTAAGTATAAGAATTTAGTCCTATTATTTAGTGTTACAATTTTAAGATGCTACCTTCTGAGTTACATGTACTTATTACTCCGTAGAGTTGTAATCAAAATTTCGAGAAGTTATTTATATCTTATACTGAAAGCTTCTAACCACAATGATCCAAGATCAAAGAAACTTATCTGGCGATCGCACTAATGTGAATAATCCTATCTCAACTGCCTGCAGTTACTCAATAACTTGTCCTTGCTAATTACCAACCGTGGGGAAACTTCCTCTTGATTCAATTCCTGACAACCTCTCAACGGGCCTTATTCAGCAGCCTTATAGCTCATTACCAAGTTCCACTCACTTTGTCGGTGCAAACTTGTAATATAACCAACATTCTATATAGTAGACTAGTCTCAGATTCCTTGAACTCCCTAACTACTATGGGTTCGAGAATACATTCACACAGTTATCTTTCTAAGCATTAGAACTTGTCGACCAACTCTAACCTCTCTCTGCTGTCTGAGCAACAGTTAAATATAAAACAGCTCTCAAGTTGATTACTACTTAAAGTGAATAACTTAAGTTATCTCATTTTTATGTCTCTGATAAATAATCTGTATTACTGTAACATCAAATAATTATCAGCTTCTAGATGCAGCTGAAGAAGTTATTACAATTGGCTTTGTAATTTTTGTACTTTTCTATTTGTATAGTTAAATGTCTATTTACAATTTACATGTCAGATTAATAATTCCTATTTAACTTATGTACACGCTACGATAATCATTTAAATGATTATTATTTATGGGAGTTGTACGCTTGACAGTATTACGTAACGAAAGATCGCAGTATTCTAACCCAAATCATGGTGGGCAAGGGTTTTGTGACTATGAAATAGCACAAGAGGAAGAAAAGAATAAATACTAAAGTAGAATTCACTAATCAAACAATGAATTCGCTTGCATTGCCTAATTATGTCTATCGTTTGAAATCCAGTATTCCATTGATAAATGGAACCAATTTGGAAATAAGCTGATGTTAACATACATGTACAGTGTACCATCTGAATAACCATCCCAAAATGTCAATCAATTCATGACCAACTAAACTTTCAGAATTATAGACAAGAACTTTAATAGCTCTAACAAAACAGCTTCTTTCCAGGTTGGTTGCATTGAGAAGATAATTTCAGATAAATACATCTTGTATAAAAATAATAAGATTAACTGATCCACTCAGCGAACCTCAGAAAACACATGTTTATAATAAAGTCAATATCCATTCTCAACTGTCATATTTATACATGTACTTGAACATGTCACTGAGAGTTTTAAACATTAACTATCACATATCAATATCTTTACACACCCATCAATATTCCAAGTATGTTTATATAATTACAAAACCTCAGTCTTGTTATAATTCAAATCCTTATGCATGTAAAATAAGTAGGAAAAAAAAACAAGCTTGTCATCAGAATGCTACCATCATGAATGTGTATGCAGCTACACTGCGCCTATGCCAGGATCAACCGAGGTTGACAAGGCGAGGCACTAATACCAGAAAATTCCAAATAACCGGGTGCCAAAACCTAATTTGATATGCCCAAATAATCTACTCAACTTCTAAATAATAACCTAAGGCTAAATGTGTACTCACTGCTTATGGCCAGATCCAGTGAAGAGGAAAACAAAACGTCCAGAGATGGTTGCTTAGTTCTGGTTTTTCTCCAGCTCACTTGGGGAGGTCTTCCCCAACAACTTAATTCTTCCCAAAAATGTACCCCTATTTATAGATTTTGGGCAGCCGACAAAATTTTGTATTTCGCGCTTATTCCTGTACTTAAGGGCTTACGCACAAAAACTCTCATATGTCCTAACCAAAACTATTACGCACGCACGGTGCGTCCATAAGGATTAATTCAAATGCTTCATCATAGGAATCACTTTCCAGATAAAGGAAAAATACTACTCTTCAATATAAATATTACAAGAAACTACGACCAAAATCCGAAATTCCAACTTCCATGCACTATACACACATCTAGGTAAGTTGTTATATTATTGCATATTAATAATTCATTTTATTTACGTTTTTTTACGTAAATTCCTACTAATCCATATATGGTTTCTGCTGCTGCAGTAGCTAGCACTGATTAGTGATATTGCGCGTATCTAAACTCAACTTGCGCGCGCGTATATAAAATACGCTTATCAATTAAAAAGGGCAAAAAAACCTTTGCTTTGAAAGTAGGTCACATTTCTGGACCGAAAATCTACCGTGTTGTCAAATTCAACAACATAAGAGAAAGATAAAAATAATTTGATAGGCATTTTCGCCACAATATTTTAGGATTCCCTGATGACCTAGAGGAGCATTATATGTCAGTGACACCGCCGTAACGACTGCATGTTGACTCCAAAAACATACCAATATTTGGCCGTATCGTAATTTGTTGTTCAGACTCTCGTCGGTCTGGCATCAGTCTCGTTTGTGTTCCTGGTATACAACTCACCTCTTTTAGTGTATCCGTGTCATGCATAATTCTGCCGCTCTTGTAGCTGAGTTTAATGGCTCTATGGAGACACGTCTGGCCGTCACTTGACTGGACATTGAGATCAGCTCCCTCAGAAACTAACTTCTTAATAGTGGAGGTATGACCGTCTTGGATGGCAAGATGGATACCTGTTAAATCATTCTGTTTGAGCTGGACATAAGAAAATACGCGGCAGAAAAACTTGAGAATTCATTTTTCTTTCTTAAATGCTAGTAAAGTCCAACTTCAGAGAACAAATGTACTTCCAGATGATCAATTACTTGCAATGATTCAAATACGTTTTAAGCGACCATTATAATTTGTCCATGAAGTACAGCATTGAAGTCTAACTGGTGTTTTAATTATTACCCGGTAATGATTATTATTGGCGTTACAAAATCAAACTGATCAAGTCTGAACATAATTATGATAGGAAACCTTCGACTAATATTCACTTCATTGAATTTCAGTACTTGTTGTTCTACAGTCATGTATAACATACATTATTTAAGGTAGATAAATTCAACATAAAGTGTGTTTTTTTTAATATGTTTACCTTGCAATTTGAATGGTTGATCAATAGATCAACGATGCTTCGGTACCCGTGGAATAAAGCAAACTGTAGAGGTGTGTGCCCGTCAATGTCTCCAGTGTCAGAGCGTGCTCCTCCTGTCAGGAGGACTTTAACGACTTCAAGGTTACCATCCTGAACAGCATGGTGTAAAGGAGTCCTACCGTTGTTACAACCCTTATTCACCTCAGCTCCTTGACTGATGAGATATTTGGTGACATCAAGACGACCATTGTAAGCAGCAAATAATAATGGAGAAATACCGTCATTATCTCCCTTATTCACCTCAGCCCCTTGGCTGATGAGATATTTAGTGACATCAAGATGACCATTCTCGGCAGCTAGGTGTAAAGCAGTCCAACCGTCATTATTACCCTTGGTGACTTTAGCTCCTTGACTGATGAGATATGTGGTAACATCATGATGGCCATTCTTGGCAGCAAGGTGTAAAGCAGTCCTACCGTCATTATTTCCACGATTCGCCTTGGCTCCTTGACTGATGAGAGATTTGGTGACTTCAAGTTGACCATAGAAGGCAGCACTGTGTAATGCAGTAAAACCATCATTATCTCCCTTATTCACCTCAGCTCTTTGACCGATGAGATATTTGGTAACAACAAGATGACCATTCTCGGCAGCAATGTGTAATGCAGTCCTACCGTCATTATTTCCTTGATTCAGCTTGGCTCCTTGACTGATGAGATATTTGGTGACATCAAGATGGCCATTCTTGGCAGCAATGTGTAATGCAGTCCAACCGTCATTATCTCCCTTATTCAACTCAGCTCTTTGACCGATGAGATATTTGGTAACAACAAGATGACCATTCTCGGCAGCAATGTGTAATGCAGTCCTACCGTCATTATTTCCTTGATTCAGCTTGGCTCCTTGACTGATGAGATATTTGGTGACATCATGATGGCCATTCTTTGCAGCACTGTGTAATGCAGTAAAACCGTCATTATTTCCACGATTCGCCTTGGCTCCTTGACTGATGAGAGATTTGGTGACTTCAAGTTGACCATTGAAGGCAGCAATGTGTAATGCAGTCAAACCGTCATTATTTCCCTGATTCACCTTGGCTCCTTGACTGATGAGATATTTGGTGACTTCAAGTTGACCATTGAAGGCAGCAATGTGTAATGCAGTACAACCGTCATTATATCCCTTACTGACCTCAGCTCCTTGACTGATGAGATATTTGGTGACATCATGATGGCCATTCTTGGCAGCAATGTGTAATGCAGTCCAACCGTCATTATTTCCCTTATTCACCTCAGCTCCTTGACTGATGAGATATTTGGTGACTTCAAGTTTAACATTGAAAGCAGCAAGGTGTAATGCAGTCAAACCCCTATTGTTACCCTTATTCACCTCAGCTCCTTGACTGATGAGATATTCAGTGATAACACGATGACCCTTCCGAGCCGCACTATGTAAAGCAGTCATACCGTCATTATTTCCTTTATTCACCTCGGCTCCTTGACTGATGAGATATTCAGTGATATCAAGATGACCCTCACTAACAGCACTATGTAATGCAGTCATACCGTTATTTTTTCCTTTATTCACCTCGGCTCCTTGACTGATGAGATATTCAGTGATATCAAGATGACCCTTCCGAGCTGCACTATGTAAAGCAGTCATACCGTCATTATTTCCTTTATTCACCTCGGCTCCTTGACTGATGAGATATTTGGTGATATCCAGATGACCCTTACTAGCAGCAAGGTGTACTGCAGTCAAACCCCTATTGTTACCCTTATTCACCTCGGCTCCTTGACTGATGAGATATTCGGTGATATCAAGATGACCATTAAATGCAGCATCGATTAAGGCAGTACTACCGTTACTATCTACCTTCCTCACTTTAGCTCCTTGACTGATGAGATATTTGGTGACTTCAAGTTGACCATTGAAAGCAGCACTGTGTAATGCAGTCCAGTCGTCATTATCTCCCTTATTCACCTCAGCTCCTTGACTGATGAGATATTTGGTGACTTCAAGTTGAGCATTGAAAGCAGCATGGTGTAATGCAGTCAAACCCCTATTGTTACCCTTATTCACCTCGGCTCCTTGACTGATGAGATATTCGGTGATATCAAGATGACCATTAAATGCAGCATCGATTAAGGCAGTACTACCGTTACTATCTACCTTCCTCACTTTAGCTCCTTGACTGATGAGATATTTGGTGACTTCAAGTTGACCATTGAAAGCAGCAATGTGTAATGCAGTCCAGTCGTCATTATCTCCCTTATTCACCTCAGCTCCTTGACTGATGAGATTTTCAGTGATAACACGATGACCCTTCCGAGCCGCACTATGTAAAGCAGTCATACCGTCATTATTTCCTTTATTCATCTCGGCTCCTTGAATTATGAGATATTTGATATCTTCAAGGTGACCATTGAAAGCAGCAAGGTGTAATGCAGTCAAACCCCTATTGTTACCCTTATTCACCTCAGCTCCATGACTGATGAGATATTTGGTGACTTCAAGTTGACCATTAAAAGCAGAAAAGCCTAGTGCAGTCCTACTGTCATTATCTTCCTGATTCACCTCAGCCCCTTGACTTACGAGATATTTGGTGACATCAAGATGACCATTCTGGGCAGCAATGTGTAATGCAGTCGAACCCCTATCATTACCCTTATTCACCTCAGCTCCTAGACTGATGAGATATTTGGTGACTTCAAGACGACCATTGTAAACAGCACTGTGTAATGCAGTCCATTCGCTTTCTCCTTTAACCTCAACTCCTTGACTGTTGAGATATTTGGTGACATCAAGGTGACCATTAAAAGCAGCAAAGCATAATGCAGTCCTGCTGTCATTATCTTCCTGATTCACCTCAGCCCCTTGGCTGATGAAATATTTGGTGACATCGAGATGACCATTCTGGGCAGCAATGTGTAATGCAGTCCTGCCGTCACTATCTCCCTGATTCATTTCGGCTCCTTCACTAATGAGATATTTGATGATTTCAAGGTGACCATTGGAAGCAGCTCTGTGTAATGCAGTCACAACCTCATTATCTGCTTTATTCACCTCAGCTCCTTGACTGGTGAGATGTTTCTTGACATCAAGATGACCATGGTAAGCAGCGATGTGTAATGCAGTCAAACCCCTATCATTACCCTTATTCACCTCAGCTCCTTGACTGATGAGATGTTTCGTGACATCAAGATGACCATGGTAAGCAGCGATGTGTAATGCAGTCAAACCACTATCATTATCCTTATTCACCTCAGCTCCTTGACTGATGAGATGCTTGGTGACGTTAAGATCACCATTTTGGGAAGCAATGTGTAATGCAGTCCAACCGTCATAATTATTACTCTTATTGACCTCAGCTCCTCGACTGATGAGATGCTTCGTGACGTTAAGATCACCATTCTTGGAAGCAATGTGTAATGCAGTCACACCCTCATTATCTGCTTTATTCACCTCAGCTCCTTGGCTGATGAGATATTTGGTGACATCAAGATGACCATTGAAAGCAGCATTGAATAATGCAGTCCTACCCTTGTACACCTTATTTACCTCTGCCCCTTGACCGATAAAATGCCTTACTTCTTCAAGATCACCATTCCTTACAGCGATGTCTAATGCAGAGTAACTGTCCTTGTCTTCTTGGCCAAGTACACATTTGGTTGCTTCAGCTTCAAGACGTCCGAGTGATGCAGCAAGATGTAAGGGTGTTTGTTCATCCAAAGTCACCTTCTCTACATCTATATGTAAGGATGTGTTTTCATCTTGGTCTGCCTGGTTACCCCTCAATGCTGCCTCATGAAGCTGTTTTATGCCCTCGTAATTTTTCCATAAAAAATTAAAATCACGTAGGCCTAGAAACAAATCTAGATCTAGGCCTAATTGAAACACCGGTTTAAGAATAATATGAGACATCCTAAGACCTAACAAAAAAAGACTAATCTTTGTAAAAAATTGTAATCGTCTACTTCTCTCATTATTACGCTCCACTTCCAAATGTTACAAATGAGATTCCAAATCTTTTCTAGGAGATAAACCACTCCAGCAAAGCATAGTCAATGCTCATGCCCGTATTGACATCTAGCGCTGTACGTGCTGAGAGGCAGCAATTGCACACAATACATTGCACACTAATGGACACAATGAATACAAAGTGGCTGATCATGATCGGCAAGTTTGACAGTAGACTCACGATTTCAATTCAAAGTATTCTTTCTGACATCGGTAAGTTGAAAAGATTGTATTTTACTGCTATTTAGGTGTCATCAAGTACCGATTTTGAGTGAATCCAGTTGAATTTTGTACAGTGTCAGTGGTGTTTGAAATTTTGAGAATCATTACTCCAATAGATCTAGGTCTCTAGAGGTAATTGTATACATAGCTAGTCTACAGTTTGTAATACACAGCCAGGATAGTAATGTAGCTTCATGTACAATGTAGATCTAGATCTACAGTAGAATTTCTAGGCCTAGAGTAGAGGTCTAGAGTCTAGTCTACTCTATGTGTGAGAGGCGAGTTGGCTCAGTCGGTAAAGCGTCCGCCTGTCGAACCAAAGATACTGGGTTCGACTCCCAACCAACCAAGGCGGATGATTGAAGCCTGCGTTGTGTGTTAACGTGCCCCTTCCCTTGTTCATAGACATAGTCAGACGCAGGTTATGTTAAATGGAGGCCCCGTGTTGAGAAGAGTCACTACCTTTGCACGTTAAGAACCCACTGCACTATTCGTATATAGAGAAGGGGGAAACCCCGGTGTAGCTAGTGGTCCACCTGCACACACCGTGCACGCCCAGCATAGGCCTACGGTACTCTGTAAAGAGGTCTGTACTCAACAAGGAAGTAGATCGAAGAAGGAGATAAACCAGTTCACCCGCGTACCCGTAGAGCCTAGAGAGGATCTAATGCGGCTACAGTTGAACTTGAAGTACAATGCTCTTTGACAAAATTTTGGACGCTGGCTGTCATGTCGCTCAACTCTAGGCTAATGCTAAGTGTTTCACAAAACTGCGAACAATCCTATACTTTAGTGCGTTTTATTATTTTGGGTTTCTAACTTCAGTTTACAGCTCTACGTGCATGTAGTACATACGTTGTGTCATACGGCCGTGCACAGGGGCGCGCACACGCGGATTTTAAAGTGACACACTGGTTATTGAATCTACAGTCCTGACCTACTTGTTCAGTGGCCTGCTTTCAAAAAGGGGATGTAGATCTATATATGTATGCCGTAAATTACCTACTTCGTTTTAAGGGGTTTTATTAATTAAGAACAGTGGGCAGAATTGTCTAAAGGTGATGACAAGAGGGAAGGCATAGTCATGTAGCCTGGATAGGTAGGGACTATAGTGGTGGGGATGGTGGGGGGGGGGGGGGGGGGGTCAGGAAGGGGCGTTAAGGGGATACAAAAGGAGTGTTTATTACCTACTTCGTTTTAAGGGGTTTTATTAATTATTAACATTGGGCAGGATTGTCTAAAGGTGATGAAAAGAGGAAAGGCATAGTCATGTGGCCTGATTGATTAGGGGCTAGAGTGGTTGGGGGGGGGAGGGGTCCAGGAAGGGGCGTTATAAGGGGATTTAAAGGAGTTTATATTACCTACTTTGTTTTAAGGGGTTTTATTATTAATGAACAGAGGGCAGTATTGTTTAAGGGTGATGAAAAGAGGAAAGGCATAGTCATGTAGCCTGGATGATTAGGGGCTAGAGTGGTTGGGGGGGTCCAGGAAAGGGCGTTAAGGGGATTTAAAGGAGTTTATATTACCTACTTCGTTTTAAGGAGTTTTATTATTAATGAACAGAGGGCAGTATTGTTTAAGGGTGATGAAAAGAGGGAAGGCATTGTCATGTAGCCTGGATGATTAGGGGCTAGAGTGGTGGGGGTGGTGGGGGGGTCCAGGAAAGGGCGTTAAGGGGACACAAAAGGAGTGTTTATATCATTAATAATAAAACCCCTTAAAACGAAGTAGATATTAAACACACCTTTTTGTTATCCCCTTAACGTTGCGGTTGTTTTAGATTTGAACACTGTTGTTTATTCAATATTATTGCATAGTTGGGTTGTTTAAAAGAAGATTCACACATTATTAACAGAGCTGTGTAATGTTCATTATCTGGTTATTTAAATTTCACAAATGACCTACTGGAACCACTCGTCCAATAATAAAAAGAAATTACACATGTATAACTTTTTGCCAATTTATTTTATCATGTCTTAATCATATTCATTTAATA